GAAGAAAATAGGTATCCAGAAATTGCCCTGACCGAGCCAATCTCCTGACATGAACCCTATCAAAACCACTGGCCATACTCGACCGGCAAGTCAAGAAACAAACAAAAAAACCAACTTCGAAGAGCGATCTACTTCAAGTTTTGAAGCAAGAGCGGGTGAAAATCCCATAATCTAAAATTGACGAGATGATTCTCACGATGCCTCAAAGGATCAACAAACTCCAAGAAGCAAAAGGAAGATCTACTAGATATTAATGAAATTATAAATATATCAATTCATGTGAATATGACTGAAAAATTTCATTTTTTTATGAAAAGGTGGTGTCTATTTACTTGTGACCACGCTGTGTACATGAAAAAGCCAAAGTGTTCATGTCACAATGTTTTTACATGATTACATTCAGAATTTAAACAACTTTGTCGGTGTATATTAATAAATCTCATTCTGAGCATGCATGTATTTTGGTTTCAGATGTTTACTGAGTATTAATAACATTTTAAACCTAATTGTAAGTTAGTTAAAAAACCAGATCAATTTGTATTAGTTTTAGGATATTCTATTTCAGTGCATAATATATTTTGTTCTAAAATGCATACTTGAATGCTACGTGAATTATTTTGGGACAAGCAACGTAGTAAGAAAAAAGTTTAACTGTCTGTGCACCCAAGTGCACATTGAGGTTATGGTAAGTGTAAAACTTCTTGTTTATTTCTTACTAGCTGGAGTACTGGTTCTCTGGTCAAAAGTTACGTAAATTCATGATTAATGAAATGTTATCTTAGGATGTGCAAAGTTTTTCCCTTATGTGTAATTGTAAAAAAATGCCCATAAAAACTGCAAAACACAATGTGAAAACACACATTTGCATGTATCTCTGCATGGATCCAACAAACCTACACGCCAAATTTGGTGAAGATCTATCAACAGGGGGTGAAGTAATGGTAATAAAACTGCCAAATGCAAAAATAAATTTGTATGTACCCCTACATGGACCTAATGAACCTCCATACCAATTTTGATGAAGATCTATCCGCAAATTAATTACATAGACAGACAACAGACAGTACTATTATATTTATATAGATATATATTTTTTAACTAAAAAATTATAAATTCTCATGATCTGTTTGAAAAATGCACATGTAAATGGTTAAGAGTCTTGAAGTTGGGATAAATAATTGTACTTGTCTATTATAATCTTCAGTCATTCTAGAAAATAATTATTAATTTTATTTCATTTTTGAACTTTTCTTTCATTGTTCATTGATTTTGCTACAGATAATGTTGGGGCAGAGAAAATAGGAATAAAATATTGAAAAATACATTCTTTTTTTGTATGTCTGTTGTGTTTCTAAATCACATAAATTTCTCCAGTAGTTATATTTTCAATAAAACTGTTGGGTGTTGTCTTATAACAGTGTACTTGCTTTCTTGTCTGTTCATACAAGCTTTTACATATGGAAGTTACAATTAAAATATATGTTCCATTTTGTATAGTTAGTGATTTTCAACTTGTTTTGTTGTTATTAATTATTATTTAGTTATCTACTCTATTGAAGCAGCTGTAAAGTCACAAAAATTGCATAAAGCACTGGATTGTGGACTAATGAAATGCAACTTGTGTTGTAGGCCTAGACTGATATAAGTGATATTTTTCCAAATTTCTTTCTTAAGCTCAATATCTCTAATAATTGTTGTTTGTCTTGATAATTTAGGATTTCTTGTACTTCTATGAGTTGTTGGAATAACAATAACTATTATTACACACAGAAATAGTTTGAATAGTTTGCTGTTGTAGAAATCCTATCTTAATGTACTCACTAATCCAAAATATCCTTACCTGATATCTTCTCATAGAATATTCCTGTATATTTCAAACGGACTCAATATAACACAAAAATTATTATTGGAACAAAGAGAACACAAGAATGTCCAGGTTAATTGGTTATTACTTTTAAGTTTTCTAAATTTTATATCAGTCCTTTACTCTCCACTATAAAATCTTCCTTAGTCATTTTCTCAGAAACCATAAATTACAGGTCACCCACTTTATTTACTTTATATTGATGTTGATAGCCATTGGTTCTCTCTGTCTTAAAGACTTAAGATTTATTAGTTACTGTTCAACCCATAAAAGCCTTTCCACACATGATAGAAAAGAGAAGTCACATGAGAAAAACATGCAAGTCTATTTGTAATGGATTACAGGTTCTGAGTAAATATACACATATACTTTTACATGGTCAGAAAAATTCTACAAAACCTGAGTGTAGTATTGTTTACAGGTGATACCCTTTGTAGCTATGCAAAGATTTAAATTTCTAACATTTTTTTAAAAATTTTCTTTGCAAATTTACAAAGTATAAATTAAATAGTTTGATTAAAACAGTGTTTTAAATAGTTAAATTACCATTGTACTTGTAAAATCTGATTTGCAAATGCACCCTCGAAACTGGAAATTTGATTTTCTCTACCGTAACATTAAATGTAGTAGTAATTAATGTTAATTGAAAAATAAAAAGTTGAAAAATATGAAATGACATGAACAATACCACATTTTCCTCTTCACTGATTCCAGTATTCATAAGAAAGAACTAAGTTATCAGTTTTAATTTCTGATCTTCTCTCATACATATTCTGTCAATTTCATGGTTTTATTGGTGTACTGCAGACTGACTACTATTGCTCTGCTGTGCTTAAAAACCAATAAATTGTAGCAAAGTGATTTATAAATTATTTTCAGTAATACAGATACTTATTATTTATTCTCTATCAAGGATGAAAGAAGAAAACAGTGGCCACAGCGGCAGGGTCGACCTACACCTCCTTTACCGGTAGACTTGCCATGTCAGTGGCAGACACAGCCTCAACAACGAATGCCATTTGACTATAGGGGTCCTCCACCAATGCCACCACCTGGAGGTCCATATCCTCCTCCTCATCTCAGAATGGGACATCCCCATCCACCACCACAGCAGGTTTGTATAAAAAATAGATAATTTTGTTGGCAAGCTGCCTTTTAAGGACGTTTTCCTGAATATAAAAATTGCTTGTGGAAACGATAAGTGAATTTTTAACTTAAAAAAATTATCATAGATACAAATACCAGTATCTTGTCTAGATGACATTCATATCACCTTTTTAGCACCCAGGATTCCCTCCTGGAGCTCCAGGAAGGCAAGGGCCTCGACCTGATCTGGCAGATGATGATGAAATTTGGCGCCAAAGGAGACGTCAGCATTCTGATGAAATGAATATGGCAGTTGAACGTGCACGTCAGAGACGAGAAGAAGAAGAAAAACGCTATGAACAAATTAAACAAGGTGCACAAGAAAAGTTGAAGGCACTAGAAGATAAAAAGCTGTCTAAGGTAAGATTATTATGTTAATATAAAAGGAAACATTTTTACCTCTCTTCCTATGGGCTTAGTCAATTTGATCCAGTTTGTGATCCCAAATTGAATTTAAAGTTTACATACTATAACTTGTAAAAAAAAAAATTGTGTAGCTTCACGAAATTTCACAAGATTTCAGTATTATGAGTCTTTTTGTATACAAAAATTCAAATTTTTAATAAAGTATTTTTTATTAAAAAATCTCTGGAATCCAAGTGATGACTGCTCCATGTACAAAGTGACTTTCATGTTGAGATTACAAATCTTTTCTTCATATGAAAATTGCCTAATCTCATTTGCATAAAACCTTAAATTTTTTTTTTTTTGAAATAGTTGGCTTTTGTGAAATGTTTCTACAATGCTATTTTAATTATTTTTAGGAAAACAGAGATACAACAGAACCTGATGAAAAAGAAAGATCTAGACACAGCAGTGAAAATAAGGAAGAAAAGCTCCCTAGTAGAGATGGGCGTGAAAGAGAGAGAGATCGTGATTTTAGAGAGAGACAGATGGTAGGGTTTCAGGTTAGTTGCTTCAAACTAATGAACATTGTATTCTTTTAGTTATTTTTATTGTATTTTTTGGTTATTTAACCCTACATGCACAGGATTGTTCCCGCTGGGCAGACCCTATATTAGAGAATTAATGTTTACTATAATTCCAAATTTACTTCATGTATCATCATTAACTTTAAAAAAACTTGATTTGTGTGTAAAAAATTTTCTCTACCTTAACTAATGAAATCACCAGAGTGAAATGGTAAGTTCAAAAATAAGAAATAAAATTAACAGTACATTTATTCTTTGAATAGATAATTTTTGCTAGATTAATGATCATTACAGTTTTAGCTATTAATTTTTTATCAGTTTTCTTTTAATTTCATGGTTTTGTTAATGTATTGAGTATCCACTTGAGCAATAATCTTCCTTTCAAACAACATTAAGTCACAGCAGTAGATCATTAGCACTTATTGTAAACACCCTGAGCAAAGTGTTACCTGTGTGATCTTAGCAAGTGCAAGCTGTTACTGTGCTTTTTTTTTTTTAACAAGTTCTTAAACTCATTCATGTAGCTTTCATATATGAATATTATAACACAAAAAAAAATATATCAGGCACAAGAAAAAAAAGCCCCAAAATTAATATAGTTTAACTGTATTTCTAATTAAGCAATAAATAGGGTAACAAAATTTCATTAGCTGCTTGAAGCTAAACAATAATAATCACCTGTAAACCATTCGGGATGAACTGTCTACATCTGCCCATAAAATAATAAAATTTTGAATGTAACACACTGAAACCTTGTGTCATGTGCAGTAAAGGGTACCCGGGGAAAGAGGGTTAAACAGTACTTCACTCTACTATTCAAATACAACATCTAAAAATGTAATTTGCATATCACAGGATACCACATTTTTTTCTATAATAATAATATTTAAAATTTGGGAACTTTACAAATTTACAAAATATTTAAAATGTAAAGCTTACAGTTCATATTAAAAAAAAAAAAACTGTTCCCATAGTTAGATGCTTTAATTTTTTTTCAGAATTTGATACTGATCTACAAAAGCATTGTTTACATGTGAAATAAGTTAGTATTTTTGTAAAAAAAGAAGTATTTTGTAAATTTTGGAATATGAAACTTCTGTGAAGCTTTAGTAGGTACTAAGGATGGGATTAAGGAGGAAAAATCCTGATATCTGAAGGATTATATAAAAATTTGATTATAGTAGTTTTCTCTATCTTTCACACACCTGATAAAATTGCAAATATTTAGAATGTACTTTATTTTAGACCGTTTATTGGGATTTAATAACTTTCTAATGCTTCCAAGCCTTATTAATTTTGTTAGAAACCTGACACTTTTTTTCTTCCTTCAGGGTTTCAACTTTTCAAGAGAATTCCAGAAAAATGTTCCTCCACGTTTTCAAAAGCAGCAAGAACTGCTTAGACAACAACAGTATTTGAGGCAGCAGCCAGGAGGTCAGGGTTCCTCTTCATCAACACCTCCATCTGGACATGGACCACTACCAATTCCACCTTCTGTACCCATGAACTATGATCCTCGTTGGGGTGGTATGCCACCCTCAGCTTATGTTGGGCAGATACCAGGTATATATTAAAATATGTTACATACAATCTTATTCACTGATTTATTTTGACACAAATTCATGTGAATTATAGGAAATTTTATTTGTTAAAAGTTTGTGGGTGTTTTTAATGATCTAAGTATGTTTTCTTATTAATTCTTTTATCAGATTAAGAGGTTTATGACAAAAAGTACATAAGTTTTAAGTTGCTAAACTTTACATTGAAAGTCAGCATTATTTGACATTTTGATTTCTTAGTTCCTCCCAAGTCTTTGCCACGATCACGCTCAGACAGTTTAGGCTCTGGAACAGAGAGCTGTGAAGGTGAACAGCGCACACCAGATTTAGTAGTGCCCCCATATGATAGAGAAAATAGAGATGGCCAGTGCTGGACAAGAGAGAGACGACCTATCAGCCATCCTCAAGGTAATTATTTTTCTTTTAATCCAACCATTGGAGTCCCAAATATTTGTATAATTGTAAATGTGATGGACAAAGAATATGAACAAAAGGAATTTTTTGTTAAGATGTTTTTAGAAATTTCTATAATGTTCTACAAGCTTATCTATGTCATATTTTTGCTGTTAACTTTCTTTGAACATTACATGACAATTTAAATTTTGAAACCTGAGTTGACTTGATTTTAATTTTCAGAATTATGATGTATAGTTTTTAGTAAAACATTTTTATCTGAAAGCTAATGAATACGTTTTAAATATGAAACATGACATTTATTTCTGAGATGTCAATAATGTTGTATAATATCTTATGTTTATAGGTAATAGGCAGTAATGTTTTTTCTTTATGATGCATATAGGCCCTTATGATAATTGGCGAGGCCCACCAGTACCTTTCTATAGTGATCCTCCTGATCATGGAAGAGGGTATGATCAACGGCAACCTGATTTTGATCGATCTTCAGAAAAAGAGGAAAGTAGATATTCAAGTGAAGATAGAGATCAACGGTAAGTTTGATAGACAAATATTGGTCTTTTATGTGCATTGTTTATAATATTAAAGTAAAATCTTCAGAGTGCGAGGTCTCTTCCATCTGCATAATTTTTACAAAGGAGACAAACTTAACCACATTATATCTGAGACAATGGATTGTTTAGTCTAAGATTAATCATACTCTTAAGATTTAGCAAAGTAAAAAAAAAAAATTCTGTTGCTTTTAGGAAAAGAGATGTTGACAGCCCAGATCTTCATTATAGAGAAAAAGAAAAGAAAACTGCATATGAAGAAGAAAAGAAGGAATTATCATTCAAAGATGAAATAGGTGAAAAAGACATTGAATCGTGGGCCAATGCATTTGAAGAAAGCCAGAAGTTACAGGTATGACATCAGAAACCATACGTGATGTATAATGTTTGTATATGTAGTATATACTCAGATGCAAAAATTTTTTAAAGGATGGGTAGTAATAAATAGCATGGTGCCTTTTGATAGTCAAATTTTATTTTATTTTTTAAGTTGTCAAATATTGTCTCACCGTAGGATCCATTTGATGAATCAAATGAAGTGGTAAAATCAAGTCATACTATGGAAAGATGGAACAAAGACAGACCATCAAGGCCAGAAAGTCGAGATAGTAGAACCAGTCGGGATTCGCGAGAAGAAAGAACAGCTTTTTCTCGACAAGGAAGCCAGAGTTCCCAATCTGACAGAGAACGTAAACTTGGAGAAAGGGAGAAAGAGCATAAACTAGGAGACAAAGAAAGAAAAAGTGACAGAAAAAGTAGTTTTGAATGGAATGATTCATCTAATTCTCAAGACTCAAAACGTGAGTGTTGTGTAACAGTATTATGTTCTAAATCAGTTTGAGTGGTTGAAACACTTGGGTTAGATAAATAAAGTTATAAATCTTAGGAAATACTTTTTCAGTTTTTAGTAGTTATATTTAGCATTCTCTTTCTCACCCCTGTTATGCTCTGTTGTCTCGAGCAGTGGTTCCTTACCTTCAAGTCTCCACAGACTGGCAATAAACTTACTTTTAGGAGTGTATAGACCTATATTACAGTATATAACCATTAGTATGAAGTACACAGAATGTAAATGGTTAAACATGTGGATGCAAAAAAGGTCTGAAAGGATTTCACATTTTTAGTTGTATAGAAGAATCATGTTTTCATTTATCATTATTTTATTTATATATATTCACTGGATTCTTCTTTGGATCAACATAGGTCTACAGATAAGTGGTTGGGAACCACTGGTCTAGAGTATACTTCTGTATTTGATATTAAACCTAAAAATAATAAATTTTTAATCAGAATACTTTTAGTGATATAAGAAAAATATTAAACCATAAAATTAGCAATAATTCAGTGGTTTTATTAAAACTGATAATTCCATCTAATTCTAGAAAAATAGTAAAATTGATTCAAGATTATAAGGCTCCAGAATGGAGTTTATATAAAATGTGTTTAAACTTTGAAGTAACCTTGCAAATAAATTCCTATTGTACCATTTTCTCTTACTCTACAAATAATTTATTTTATAAACTAAGAATGGAAAGTTTATTTCTTTTTCTAAGTGATGAGAAGGAAATTCTTAAAAACAAATATTAATTATTATATGATGAAGAATGAAAATCCATAATATTTACTTTCATATGTAGACTGGTACTTGAATGATCATTGCTTTCTCGGGTAACTTGGGAATGGTGTTAATTGAGATGCTAGGGTTGTACAATACAGTATAAACAAGTATTTCCTTGACCTCTGACTAATACATAGAAGAGCAAGTGTTAAAAAAAAGTGCATTTTGGTTGATAAACTAAAATTTCAGTTGACTTGCATATACAAGTGTTCCATACTATCTGTGTTTTTTCATAAAATTGAAAGAATAGTAGGTCTTGAAATTAATGCTAGCAATTTGCTGAGTACTGTTGCAGTTCTAATAGTAAAATGTAGAAAGCACAAGAATGAAATTGCTACTAATTTCTCATGGGAGATTCTTACTGTCCACTATCAGTACACCCATGATAAATGCATTTCTGAGTACAGAATGTTACTATGATTGTGATTAAAAACTTGTTTCATGTGCCACTGCCATGCAAATCTTGCAATTGCCATTTGAGCTGTATGTCATACTCTGGCTAAGTATGAGGAAATAGGATAGTGTAACTGCAAGTTCAACTTCTTTTTTTTATTGGTTGCCAAGGGAATTAGCATGAGGACAAACAGGTTAAATTTGCACCATCTGGCCTCTGCAGTGCAGTTTTGCTTACAGCATAGTTGGAAATACTATGACTGAGTGGTTGTTCATTGGTGGTAGTATTAAGATAGAAATCACAAACTGCAGATGTTTCATTCCGCACTTCTTGTATTTTGCCGATGATTAATACAAATCTTGGACCTATTTGATTTTAATGCTTCATCAGCTTTCAGCATTTAAACTGTGACTTTTGATCCAGATGCTTGTGGTCTAGATGCACCAATTTAGTTTCCATTCAGATATAAACATCTTTTGTCTATCATGAAATAATAAAAATAGATACTGTTACATGTAATTAAAATGAGTTTTGAAATGTGAAAATATTTATAGATACAAATAGGACTAAATGTTACTAAATACATATATGTATGAAAGGATTAATTATGACATGGGTATAGCTAATTTTGAAGAACATTGTTAATAGTAGTAGTAGTACCAAATTTAATTGTGGGAAATGAAATAACTATTAATGTTTGCTAGTGCCTTCAAAAGTTGAGAGTGGGGCATTTTTAACAAATGTGTAAACATTGGAAGAAATTGAAAATCTTTGAGAACTTCCAGTTATATGTTACTGACATGCATTCACACATGATGGCAAAATTAAAGAAACACCAGAAAAAGTGCTATATACACATATATATATATTATGCAGTTTTAGTGGTATACAAGAAAGCATTAATACTGATTTTGAAGGACAGCTTTCTTTAATTGTTTGATAAACGCAATATAGTTTACTTTGATTTCAGTAATGCCTTTTCAAAGTATTGAGATTTCTTTATAGTTTTGTATATAATGTTAACATATGTTTTCCAGCTGTAATATGTGGTTTGCAAAATATTTGGCATTGTACTTTTATCAAGTTTTACAGCACACCTCAAATAGAAGAACCATGATAAAGTTATTGTTGTGATGCTCAGTAATATATAGTAAATTTATTAGGCTTCAGTTGATATCTGTATTTCTCTCAAAAGAAGTGGTATGAAAAAGTTTTTTGATCATAGAAAATGGATACCATCCAGGAAATTCATTTCAGTTCTGGGATTTTGATCTTGATGAAGAATGTGCACTAGGATTTCATTGTATTGTCAGATAATGCCAACAGTATTATTAGTTAAGTCTTAACCACTAAAGTCAGACCAAGGAAATATATGTCAATGAGTGTATAATCAGATAGTTTCTGATTTCCTTAGTTATAACTCGTGGGACATGCTGAGGCTAAAACCATTCTCTCAACTTTATATTTATATAAAGAAAAAAATGTTTAGAAACTCATGGAGTCTTCAATAGCTGGCCCAAATATTTATTGGCAATTTAGTAATACTTCAGGATCAATTCAATAGAAACGTGTTGATCTTTAATAGATACAGGTACTTTGGTACTATTAAAGATAGAATGGCAATAGATGGATAAGATATTCAGAAACTTGTTTCTACTAGTTGTTTCAGGGCTAAAGATTATGTGAAACAAATATATAGAACCTTCTTAACTCTGGGAAAGTAACTGATTACTTATCAAATGGACAGATTATTGGCAGAAAAGGTATCTGATGTGACATTGGCTATTTACAAGTTGCTCAAAGTTCAAGTTATAAGAAAGTTGTGAATGAAAAAAGTTTTTGCTATGCTGTTGACAAACAGAATCAGTTGTGTTCAGCAAAAAAGATAAAAGATTTTTGAAGTTAGTTATTTTGATTGAGATTTAAAAAATGCAAGGAAAAAATTAGTAAAATAACACAAAGGTTTGATCCCAAGTATATGAAAGTGGATAAAAATAGATGTATATTCCACTTTCACACAGTGCTGGAAACTCTTTGTAGGTTTCATACGTGTTTATAGACAAGAATGACAAACTCTAGACAGTTTGGATACGTGCTTTATTGTAGACTAACCAAGGTCTCAAACTCCTTCGGGGACTTTTGATCTGATGGTAAAAATAGCTGGATTTGTTCTTTTAGACATATGGCATCAAGTCAATCATGTGCAGATTTATGGAAGGTATTAAAAATGCTCATATTTCTATGACGTTAAGAAGTATAAAGTGAATAGAGGATTTTCAGTGAACAAAGAACTTGAGATGAAAGACCTTTAGTAGCTCTGAGGATAGTTTATGATCGTATAAGTTTGTAAGGTTTGTTCTCAGCATAAATATCTGTCACTGGTGCAGCAAGGCTGAGGTGCTATGCATAATGAGATTTTGAAAGAGAGAAAATGGAAGCAGAGCAGTCTTAAAAAAAAAGAAAAAAAAAGGAAACCGATACAGTAAGTAAATATATATGAAATAAAAAAAACAGTAAAGTTTACAATCTTTACTTGACTCTAAAGAAAGCAGAATTAATGGAACATCTGACTTGAATTTGTGTCAGTTTTAGGCAAATTGCTAAGGGAAAAGTTGTAGCTATGCTCTAAACAAAAATTGGAGTGACAGTTGTAGGTACTTAAGAGTACTTGAGTACTTTTTGTTACATATTCTAGGCATTTATGTATGTATCTATACTGGTACTTTTTCTTGTTACTTACTGGTTGAAATATTTCATGAACCAAGAATATGTGGAATATTTAACGAAAGTATTAAGAAAGCTTTTTTTTAAAAAAAAGGTTAAAGCAATATTTTATTACTGATAATTTTTTTACAGTGTGTGTGTGTGTGTGTGTGTGTGTGTGTGTGTGTTATTGAATTGAGTATCATTAACCCATTAACTGCGGATGACTGATATTTCCGTCATTGAAGTTCTATGGCTCAGCTGCGATTGACGGAAATATCCGTCAGTCGCCCATATATAACTATACAAATGACGAAAATTACCATTTTATTGTGATTGATGGCAACTCAGTTTTATCTTTGAGTCAGAAAATGGCAACTGAGCTGTACCTGCCACAGTTAATGGGTTAACATCTCATAACCAACTGTGTGATGTTCAAAAAGATGTGAAAATTCTAAGATTGAATTTGACTTGCACGTTACATATTGTAAATGCCCATGTACTATTACTATTATGGAATTTTATTCTACTTGAAACATGCACATTGCTAAGATCAAGCAGATCTTGTATTGAAAGGTTAATTACTTCACCTTACTTTTTTGTAATAATTTATAATAAAATACTAGCAAACTATTAGCCTTTTATAAAATACTATGCAATTTTGCTTCTGCTTGTTATCTTGTGTATGTTTAATTATTCATCATATATTTTAGTTTATACATATCTTTGTGCTTAAGTGATCTTTTGTATTTTTGGCTTGTTTGGCTACAATTATATTTGAATTGTTTACCTTTCAAATACAGAACTGCCTCATTATGATGTTACCAGTGGGAGCCATGTGCATCCAAGAGCGATGTTGGTGGGGAAGAAAGCATTTATGTTGAATAACTACAGATTCAACAGACTACTTAAGCAATCAATTAAATAAAATAATTGTTCCCTTATATAGGAAAAATAGTTATAAAAAGAACATAGATAAAATAACATGCAATAATATACAATATAGATACAAATGTTCCGATATATCAAAAACAAAGTGCACACATGTTCACTTATTTATCGAGTCTAATACTTTAGGCTGCATCATTTGATTTCGAGACTTTTCAAATGTAATGTAGAGCATTTCGCCTATGCATCTCAAATTCTGAAGTATCTGTTGGTTGTCACTTCATCCAGTTTAAAACTTCATTGAGGTCATTTTTAAAAACAATCTACATTTTCATTGTATAATTAAAATTGCATCAAAAGTGAGTTGGCTTAATGCTACTCTAAACATGCTGCAATTAATGACATGGCATCTCTATTTTCTTCTGACACTGAGCAATTTTATTGGTTTCATCTGTAAACAACTCTCGAAACTTCTTGCCTTCTCCACAGAGTTAAACCATATCCTCTTTAATGACATCATTTATGATCAAACAGATGAATCCATGTTGTGTCCATTGATAGCCAAAAGTTTTCTATGCTATAATGACTGCAAGTGGCTAGAAAACTGCCCATGTGACTTTAAACCTGTCCTTTACAAATGCTATATCGATGACACTTCCTTGCTATTTCAACAATCAAATTACATTTCCAAATTCCTTTCTTACCTTAATTCCCAAATATTAAGTTCACATCTCTGGTATTTGCTCTCGGGACTTCCTGCTTTTTTCCATTATTTTGTGCCAGAGTGTAATAACTTTAACCTCTGAAGTCGTGTGGTAATGAGCTAAGCACCAGATGATACTAAATTTTTGGGAGCCAAGGCACCACAGCATTATATCCAAGAAAGTGTTATAACCAATGGCATTATAATGAGGCAGTACTGTATCATAGTTTCCTATGTAGTATATAGTTATGAAGTTAATTTGTAGTTGGCAAGTTATATAAGCATTTTAGTTAATAAAAAGGTCACAAGATGTTAGTTTTAAAAGCTTTAAATATCGTATACATCTTGAATTCAAAAAGATTGCATTTAAAATTAAATGTGGTAAATTACAATCTCAGCATGTGTAGTAGCTTTCAAGGATTTCTTTAGGCTCTCTATGCATATAAAATTGAAATTGATATTTTTATTTGAGCCTCATTTTCTGATTCTTGTTTACATGTGGCCTCTTTAGTAATCCAAAAAACGAAAGTGAAAAGAAGGTAGATTGTAATTAAATTTTAAGTTAATGATTATATGTGTTTATAAACACAGCAAATGAATCTTTGGAAGCTTTATAAGTAATGCATTGCATAGTTCGTGGGGAGTGCCTCACAATTTTATATTTCTGTCTCTAGCAAAAAATACACCCAATTTTGCAAGCAAAATAAAAATTATCCAGATCAGATCTTGGAGAAATAGTGATAATTCAGTTTCTTTCTTAGAAAGAAAAATATAATGTACCTCAAATTTCTTTTGCTTAAACATCAGGTCCAGTAATGTTTACTTTTATACATCAAAATTTAAGACATCAAGATGTCATACAATAATTGTATCAGCAGTTAGTGATCAAATTTAGAAGTAGATTTACAGAAATTTTGACTGTTAATAGGTGATTAGGTTTTATATTTTGTTATTCTCTAATTCCATGAATTGCTTCATGTCTTTAATATGGTAGGTCGTGAGTGGCATTCCCATCCACCACCAATCACACAGCAACAACTAGAAAGCATGAGTCCCCCAAAGAAAAATTTCACATCACTGAAGAGGTCTACATCAACTACCTCTGCTTCTTCCAGTGCATCAGAAAGAAAAACAGAATCTCCAAAGGACACTGGCTCTGAGCCTTTGAACAAAAAAGTAGAGGATGTTGGAAAGGCAACAGTTCAGGAAGAAAAGCCTAGTCAAAATATAATTAACCCTTCTGTACAACAAGAAGAAACAGTTGCTAGCACAAAAATAACCACTGAGAGAACAATAGCACAGGTTGTATCTGGTACAGATAAATTAAAAACTGAGAGTAAAATAGACTTGTCAGTTGATGACAGACCTAAAAATGATTCTAAGGAAAACCAAACACACAAAGAAACAAAAGAGACTGAAAAATTGGAATTTGTTGAAAAAACTGATTCAACTACAATTCGTCGAGAAAAGGGAGAAATTTTTGGAGGAGAGAAACGAAGAGATCGAGGACGTGACCGAGGAATGGGACCTCGTTCTAAAGGAGGAAATAGGTTTGACACTGGTAGAGGGCGTGGTAGGGGTGGTTATGGTGCAGGGGGTCTTAGAGGAAGAAGCAGGGAGTATCGTCGCTCTTGTGTTGAAAGAGGTCCAAGATTTGAACGGCAAAAGGAAAAAGAGAGAGCTAAAGATCCCCCAAAAGAGCAAAATACTGAAGAAAGCTCTACTTCAGATGTAGATGAAAATAAACCGAGTCGTTTGCGTCAAAAAGATGAAGATAGTGAAGTATCAGTTGATGAGGTCAGTGCGTCCACAACAGAAAGTGCTACTGTTGAGAAGCAAAATGTAGAAAGTTCTACATACTCAAAAACTGTTGCATCAGGAGGAGCTTTTGAGACAATAATAGATGCAAAATTTTCTGACAAAACTGACCAAGTCCAACAAGATCACCGTCAAGGCAGTGCTTCAACTAGACAGACACTTGGAGGCCATGAAGGATCTGATAAGCAAAAAGAACAGTTTCCCAGAGGTGGATTTGTACCTCGTGGAGAACCCTCAAGACGAGGAAGAGGTGGTGGTGGTGGTAGTGTTTCATTTCGTAACTCTCAAGGTGTAACAAGATATGGACCTAGTAAATATGGACCACCACCATCCAGAGCAGCTTTTGGGTCAGGAAGACAAACATTTAAAATGGATGAGTTTAAGTGTGAAGACTCACAAGTTTGTGATTTTAATAAAAAGGAAAAAGAAGCATCTGGAAATGATACACAGAGTTCTTTTGTTAAGGATATATCAGGAAGACCTAAATCTTCAGAAAGACAGCAGCAGAGGAGATCAAACAGAATAGATAATCCAGTTCCACCTCGCTTTCAAAAACGACAGGCAAGACACTTTGAAAGTTATGATTCCTCTTTTAGAGGCCGTGGACGGGGAGGCAGGTCCCGAGGTGGATGGTACAGTGGTAACAGAAATATCCCTTACAATAAGGAAAATTTATCAGATGTGCCAAATGAGGAGTGGGAAACAGCCTCGGAGAGTAGTGATGTTGGTGAACGAAAAGACAAAAGAAATGACTCTCGAGAAGAAACCAAAGGATGGGATGGAAAAGACAATGGGGGTAAGAATCAAATGGTAAAAAAGAGTTTTTCTAGCCAGCGACCAGGATATGATCGACAAAGTCACAAGTCAGCATCTGATGGGAGAAGGAGTAACAGTGGTGCTGATCATAACAGATCAAGAGATTATCGAGACAAAGATCAAAGAAAAGAGTTTGGGAAATCTAGTGGAAATGAAAGAAAACAATCATCTGGAGGAGGAAATGTTGGATGGTCTCCAAACTCTAACACTGTTGGTCAAATAGGGAGCAACAGGAATGGTGGACGGGGAGCACAGCATGGAAAAACTAATGTTATTGGCCAAAAAAATGATACAACCACAGCTGTCTACAGGGTAGACGAAATCAAACTGCAAGATCCCTCATCTGTGCAGGCAGCATTAGCAGAATTAAACAACAGGTGAGAATTCACTGACAATGAATATTTAATTTAGCAAGTATAACATTTTTATTTATCTTAATTTCATTACAGGTTGTTTTGGATTATTGTGTTTTGCTATTTTAAGGGACATTGACAGTTATTTCTTGAAATTTGAATTAGTTTGATATTTTTTGAATACTATTACATAGAGAGCAAGAAGAAAAGATAAGTTTTATATTATTTGAAGAATGGAATATCAGTGTTTGAAAACAAAGTTAGGACTATTTCACTATTTTTTCTAGAATTAAAAAGTGCAAGTTTCATTTTAATGTTGCACAAAATCAAATTAGTTTCTATTTAGATGTGTTAATTTATCCTTTATTACCTTTTGTCCTAGTTATTTTAACTTGTAAAAGTTGCCTGCAATTTTATTTTCCTAAAATATTTAATCTGTACAAAAACTTAATGCAAGTTTGTTATTTATTACTTTGTTGAGGATTCTTGCCTTGTACCCAGATCCTGTATTAAGTGTGCCTTTATGTGGAAGAATCTCTTTGAAGTGACCACATCATTTGCCTTGGTGGTGTCCTCATTACTGCACTTGCAGCATTTTTTTCTTTTATAATTTCAAAGATATAATTTTGTATTATCTTGAATAGATATTGATATGAATGAAGTATTCATTACAGTATTGCTTCTAGGAAGTGTACTTTGCATATTTACACTATTTTGATTGCCACTGGTGCAAAATAATTATCTGGCTGCATAATAGTTCACACACATTCAAAATAGAAGTATGCATTTTAATTTTTTTTTTGTGTGCCTGCCCTTCAAAATGACTTCATAATGATAGGTCACGATCATAACCAGAAAATTCCTAACAGTAATTAGCTCATTTGGATATGCAAAGGAATGTGATTGGCTGCATTATAACTCTTGATATTAAGGGACATTGATGATTGAAAATGGTTGGATAAAGAGAAAAATACAAAGACATTCAAGGAGGGTTTTTTTTTTTAATTGCAGTGTAAGTTTTGTCAGTGAAAGGGATTGATCGATCAGATTTGTCTTACATACCATATTTTTTGTATGTACACAAATTAAACAAATTGTAATGTTTCAATTTATGGTTTCTTCAAATATAAGTTGCTTGATCATATGCTTTTATGACTCGTGAAGTTGATAGCTACTTCATTACATGGATGGCCCACTTTTTGGAAGTCGGTGGGGGGAATTTGGCCCACCTGAGAAAGATCCTAGAAACAACACTGCATTATTTATTCGTATCATAAGCATCTAACTAGAAGTTAAGATGATCATTGACAACAAAAAAAATGTGGTATACACCATGAACAATTTTTATTTTTAGATGTCAATCAGGTAAATTTTACATGAGCACCAAAACTGTTGCCATAACCAAAAGTTAGGCAGCAAATTGTTGAAGTCAGTGAGCAGTTGCTGTTTTTATATATAGTAAATTTGAATGCTGTGTATAACCATGTTGCACTCCATTTATCGATTTTATTTAATAAAAAAAAAAAATTTTTTTATTGAAACGTGCATTAAGACGCACACATCTGTAACTGGCAAGAACTGTTATGTAGTATTATAGATTAAGTTTCAAACCAAATGTTTTATGTAATTAATAGAATCCTTAAGATACAGGAAAAGCTTTGAATTAATATGAATTACTGATGTTAAATTGATTTAGTGGTAGTTTAATTTACAATATCTGCTTGTTAAAAAAGAAAAACCTGGTATGAGGATTGCTTTTTTCAGATTACTTCATGAGTGAGGTTTGAGATCTTTCATTAAAATAAATTTTAAATTTAGTTATGAAAAAGATTAATTGTGAAAACTCAATTTCAAATGTTGAATCAAGAAATTAACATATCTTTAAATATTTTTTTCTGTAGATCTTGTAGTGGCCACTAGAGTATTTTAGAAATTTTTATCCCAATTATATATAAAAATGACCAAGAATTATTTCTTTTAACAAAAAAAATACACAAGTTTTATTAGTTTCTCAACTCCAGCCTGACATTTGTAATACAGTCAATGTTCAATTTTTATTTCTAAATGTTTTTGAAAATTGATATATTATATGGAGGGATGAGTGTATTAATTTTAGATATTCAAATTAGCAAGTCATATGACATTCACAGCTTGTAGGTTAGTTGGACGGAATATACCAGAACTACATTGGCATTTCATTTGTAGTGTGGTCCCACCAAAAATTGAGTGCTTTGGGGAAGGATAGATAACTGGCCTTTTTGATGTAAAATATTTAGAAACTTGGATTATAAGGATGTGTTCAGAACAGGGATTCAAAATTTTCCATATGGGGATGTCCTTTGTTCTTAATGGTATTGAAAACAAAATAATGTGGATTAACTTGCAGCACCATGGTAAGCGTAGTGCAGTATCTTGTGGCAGGTGAGAATACGCTAACATGAGGATCAGTGGTCAAAGCCTTCCACAGGCAACAGTACACATTATAAAGGTCTCTCTCTGAAAAAGTGATGTTATATTTACTCAGATTGCTTCCATGATGTATCCAGGAAAGGAAAACCAACTGTATGTATATGTACCTAGCTGGCAAAAAATAGCAGTGCCTTATGACACTGGATGGAGCTTAGGCATACCTAAATAACTGTAATAATAACATGTAATTTTTTACTGGTCAAGGAATGGAAAAAGTGGTACAGGGCATGTCGCATAACATTTTCAAAGATATTCGTGATCTTTGCTTATTACTGTGCTCTTAGGGGTAAGAAAAGGAAGTACAAAGGCCAAGGTGAACTCTGCTTACTAATCGACTGATCTTATGTACCCATTGTATCATACAAAAACACCAGCTTTGTATGGAAGTAAGGTTAACTAAGATGAGGCTTCCATTACAGTCATTCTTATGTTTAACCACTGCATACTTCAAGCAACTGTAGATCAGAACGGATGTACATGCTATTTCATATGAAGACATACTGATCATGTTGACATATGCATTCTTCATGAAACAGGTGCTAGGAAACCATTGTTATAAGCTGTGGGTTATGGAATGAAGCAGGAAGTAGTAGTTTGCTTTGGACATCATAGTCCTATGATTGAGCTTTTTGCAATGGAAACTATGCTGCAGAGTTACTGTAAGTGTGCAGATCTATGTATAAAGCATGATAGAAGTGGTGATGTGGACTGTAATATGGTGAGGCTCCAAAACATTACAATTCTGCCTTAAATTGGTATTTATATATGCTTTAAAATGAATACTAAAATTTTGAAAATAGATATCAAAAGATTGAGTTGGATGAGAAATGGTTCATTGTCATTGAACTGGGGTTTATGTAACTGAAACTGTGCTTATCTAAGTAAGTGCAAATAAAATCAATATTCACATGTCAGCATTTTTAGTTTAAGAGGAAAACAGTTACAAATAAATGTAAAACATTTTGGAAATATCATTCAGTCAAATGGGTTGCATAAATTTCTTTCTAAATGTTGATACTCCAAAGCTTTAAATTACATCAACTTAGTGACAACTTAGTTTACTCATCTTGTTAATATATGATTCTTAACACTGTCTAGTATTCTTGTAGCAATCATCTTTATTAGTAACTGGTAAAATGGGAAATATTAAATTTATGCTAGTGTTAGCCATGAGAAAAGCTCGTTTAGTAAAAAGTGTTTGTGTGTAATAGGAAAATTTGGTCCTGAAAATTCATTCCCGAAGAAATGAAAGAGCACGGTACATTCTGATTTTCATAGAAAAATTGCTATCTGTCCATATTATTATTGAACTTTAAATCCAAGTTTGCAAATCTTACAGTAGACATTTTGGCATAAATGAAAGAAATGGCTTATTGCAGTGCAACCTGCAAAAGCACAATGACAACTGTTACGAACAGCTTGCTCAAAATCAAGCATTATTTTACTCAGATTCGGTGTTTGTTACAGTTCTTACAGCGTTTTAAAAAAAATATCATATGCTACCTCATTTTTATTTGGTAAAATTATGAAAGCACAAGGAAAAGACCATTCATTTATGCAGAATAACTGATACCATCCATTTGGAGAGGATTTAAATATGCTGTTCATCTCTAAATAAGATGAAGCTGCTAAATCATCAAGACCAGTATTTATGGCAAAAGTCAAGATCCTGTTCTTGTCATCACTGCCACTATCACATTGTAAAAAGAGATCACATTAGGCAAATAATAAAACTTGTTTGGCACTTCAAAATCTGTATGATGCACAGGTAATGTTGGAACCCCAGAGGCCTTATGCCTCCAATTAGTGATGGACTGTATAAGCTTGGGAAGCGTTGGCAATTGAGAATGACCAAATAACTTGACATGTTCAATAAAAGAGCTGTATTGCTCACTCATTACTATCCAAACCCATTCTTTCATTTCTGTGACAGCTACTTGTGCCTGAACTTTGGCTGAACTTGCAGTATGGTTGTTCTCACTGATGTAACAAATAATTTCTGGTATTGTGGTATCAGGCACTGTGTGTGCATGGGCTTTGCAAATGACTTTTTCACAGCACCAGAAATGTTTTGTACCATCTACATTTGCCTTATGAAAGTTATATAGGAAATTCAATTCCTCAATCAATTTTTGTTTTCCTTTTTCAGACATTAAAAACGAAGTAAGGCATTATAAAGGTGTGTGTGTGTGTTGTTTTTTTTTTTTTCACAAAGGTTGGATAGTGAATGACTAGATCTGGACTGCCATCTCTTGGTGTCAACAGGGCAGCAAAAACTAACCCTAGTATGTAGCACTATCTAGGGACCCAATTTTCTGGCCCAAATGTGTGTGTGTGTCTGTGTTTAAGATTGGTTTCAAATTATTTTTAGTGCAGTGACTAAATGTTGTATCAGTATTTCACTAAATTCCCTGGTGGCTCAGTAATAAGTTTGAGGGCTTATATTGCCAAAAAAATGGTTGGCACAAAGCGGTTATCCCATTCTGTAACTTCACGCTTAAAAAGAATTAAAAAACTGTTATACCAACATGTTATTTAAAAAAAAAGTAAACTGAACTTGATTTAACATTTGATTAATATATATTATATGTCTGTAATATATGTGTAAAACTCCTCCCACAGCTTTAAGTAAAAAAAAAAATTTATTTCGTGTGTCCACTTTTTAAAGAAACATGTTAATACTGCTTTATATTGCACCAAAATGAAAAATGTTATGAAATAGATGCTTGTTAATATTATATAAATAATAGGACCTTGTAGCATTTTTTCCTAAATTGTTTCTATAATGGAGAAATAGTACTTTTTTTTCTCTCCTAGAAAAACTTTTAAGTCAACAGAGATTAGCTCATCTCCCAAAATCAAAGTTGAAAAAGACAAGATAAATCCATTGGATGGTTATGACTTGAATAATCCTGCCAGTAAGTCATCTAGTAGATCCATATTTCTTTGATATAGGGTTGTATAACTGTATTGTTAATTTAAGATTAAATGTTTGTAAGTCTGATTGTGCAGTTTCTTAAACTTTCACTAGTTTCTGATATATATACATATTCGCTGTCTAGCATATAAGATTTGTTTATTCATTTTTATACACTCCTCCTATGTCTATCCTTTCAATGTTAAGCTTTGTCATAGCCTGATCCATTGTGATTGTTCTACTACCTAATAAGTGTGAAATTTAACCATATAATTAAATTGAAAATATTGTAATTTTGATTATTATTTTTAATGTAAATAATATACAAAAAACATTGTATTTTAACTCATACTTTTTTAAATCTTTAGTATTTATCAACAACAGAAACAAACTATATTAAAATATTGCAAGATCTTCTGAGTACATTATCCAAGTTTCAGAAGCTTTTTAAAAAATCCAGATTAGATTTGATTCATATAATTGTAATAATGTAAATGGAAATATTAGTGAACAAGCTTGGAACCAACAAACTGTAAATGAGAACTTTTTGGGTGTATTTTTTCATAATACTTATGATTTGTATCATTTGTCAAATAATGCTAAAATATCCATTTTATAATTTGATTTGCATATGAAAAATGTATGCATGTTGACATAACGGAGAAGTTGAAAATTATTGGAGGTATTTGGTATTTGTAAAATTAAAAATAGTTTTTAAATAATGTTTTTTATTGCCAAATAAACCTACATTTTTGGTAAATCACATTTAAAGTCTGAGGAAAATATTGAATTTTTGATTTATTCTTTCATTAAACTCCCACTTCTTTGTGATTGTTTAAAGCAGTTCATTGTTATTCAGGCACTATTTTGGAAATGTATTAAATGAGAATTAATTTTTTAACCACTCCCAGCCATTACTTAATGCTTTTTATGAAGCCAAATTAAGTTTTAAACATTTTCCCCATAAGTCACTTACAAAATATAATAAACTGAAATGTTAAGATTTGGAATTTATTTTTATGTATATTTGATTACACCATACCCTAATTTAATTTTTGTCCATAAGAAACCTTTTATTATCACTTGTTGACTTTAATAAGTAAAACTATATATTTACATAATTTTAATAATATATAAGATTTTATTGCAATCTTTCAACAAAGTGGGCTAGTGCATGATATTGATAGGCCTATGATTGTATTATTGCTGATAAATGTGTGTAAAACTTGGCTTTCATGTTAGTGGTTACAGTTATATTGCAGTATGTAACAAAATCATATAATGGGTTTTATTTCTTTAAGTTTCAAATTTGCAAAAAATGAATTTTAGCTCAGAAAATCTTTGAAGGGTTTGAATTGATTGAAGTACATTCCAGAGTTAGCTTTATGAATGCAAATACAAAAATGATCTACAAACTATTACTGATTTTATGAATTGTAAGCATTTGTTTTAGTCTTTATCTTTTGCTGCAATCTATAAATTGTATATAATATCCAAAAGTTTTTTTCCCATGACATGGTTAAATATCATGAAGTTTATCTGTAGTTGTAACATATATTATTTATAGTTTAGAAAAAACACACATTTCAGTGAGTATTTCTATATTTCTGAATATAAATTCTTTGAAAAGTTCTTATGGTGTCTTATCCTCGTATAGCTCAAGTTCTTATAAGAATGATCCACAAAAATGTTTAAGCTGGCTAATTCCTATAAATTGGGAAGATCCTATATAAATATTTTGACACAATCAAAATATCAGCCTTAAACACAACCTGTCTCCTAGCTTTGAGAATGACACTTTCACAGATGTTTTTTATTTTTTCTTCTCTTCTATGTATTCAATATAGATGAGATATACAGTTTTTCTTACTTGATTAGATAGCTTAGTATATTTTTTGTTTAACATTGGTATTTAGGTTATATAATGAAAAATAATTTACAATGAAAAAATTGGTTTTTGAGATAATGCTACTGTGGGCTAATATCATATATGATTGTGAGGTCTCATGTAGATATTATTCAGGAGCATGATTTAGATAATTTTAACATTTGTACATTAAATACCATACAAGACGAAGTGTTGGATAAGCTGTTCAAGGAATCTTGAACCTAGTGTATGTCATCTCGTACATGTAAGTACTAGTATAACTTAGATGTAAAAATGAGAAATAAATATATCCCAAGTTTTCATGTACAACCACAAAATATCAAATTGTTTACTGTACAGGCAGAGGTTTTTAAATAAAGATATTGTGTGACAAATCCATATATACTGCCCTTACACCACTTGTCACACGTGTGTATAGTACCTGATATTTTACCACATTACTTTATTATCATTACATGAGTTTAATTAAATATTTAATAAATGTCTCAACTAATATTTGAATAGAAAATCAAAGTAAATGGATGTAAAAGTGCATCAAAAGGTATTAAGTATGAGAAATAAAGCATATGAAGGTGGACAGGTGTAAAATAACATCTGTGGGCTTAAATGTTCTTTTCTTATGATGACTAGTGATACTGTAGCACTGGCAAGTTATTTTTAGCACATCCTATATTAATGCAGCCCCCAGGTGGCCTGGGTGTCTATCTATATGGCTTAGACCTCCTTACCAAGTGGTTATTGGGGAGGGGGACGTTCCAAGATTATCCTATATTAATGTAGCCCCCTGGTGGCCTGGGTGTCTATCTATATGGCTTAGACCTCCTTACCAAGGGGTTATTGGAGAGGGGGACGTTCCAAGATTATCACTCGTGCATAATTTAGGTATAGAAGTAGGTTTTCAAGGTTTCTGAACCCAAATCTGTCTATTCTCTGTTCTATATGTTCAAACAAGAATTCTAATAAAGATTTAAATTAAACATGGTATAATAACACTTGAATATGTAAAACATAGGTGTACATGTTTGTTTGTCAACATACATCTTTTACAGAATGCTAGTATAATGTACAATTGATTGAATATTATCAACCCACAATAATATACTAACCATCATTGACCTTGCATTTGTAACTTGGTCACACACACACATTTCAAATGCTGTATGATAACCAGTCTTTCAGTTAACATTACAAGTCTTTCACCTACAAAAAAACCTGTGTTTTAGTGAAGTATTTTTAATAAAATAAAGATTTGTCCATGAATATATTGAGTATTTGTTTTGAATTTTGTAATTTTCGTGTTAAAATCAAAAATATTTTCCTTATCTCAAATTTCCTTTGTGTAATCCCTAAAACCTCTTAAATGCATTTCAAAAATTTTTTTTTCAGTAAAACTGTATAGTTTATTTTCTTTATCCTATCTCAAAATGGGATCAGTAAAAACAACTGACTTTGTAACCACCAAAAAAAATCAAAATAAACTTAAATTACCCTTTTTTTTTCTTTCTAGAATGACTTTAGATTGTAACATGAAACTACATTCTTTTATCCTTACTAGCCCTATGTTCATAACAGTATTTATCTATTTATAATTAAATTATATTGTTGTAATTCCTTTTGAACTGTCTGACTACTATCTGCATCATTATAAGCTGTAAATCACTCTGGGAACATGTAGCTCGTGTTACACAATCAAATTACATTACCCCCCCCACCCCTAAACTGCTTGTGTGCATGCCTCATGAACCATTTTAATTATTTCTTATTTTACCTAAGCTCGTCTTAAATAACTTAAAGGTCCGGATTTTTAGATTTGAATTACTTTGATAATAATAAAGAAAGAATAAGTATGATAAACAAGAAATAAAGTATTTATCCAATCTTGCCCTCAATTGTCGAGGACAGTTAAGCCTGTTTTTTTTTTTTATAGTAATATAGAATATAGACTAAACATGCAAAAAGTAGACAAACTCCCCTAACTCTCAATTTTTCTGGCTTTTTACCTGTTTGACAAGAGCCATTACAAATTTATTCAAGATAGTCATTATAACATTCACATGTGAGTGAAATTAACAATATTCTGTTCAGAACACAACATTATACAATACGTCATTTGATAGATGAAAGCTTTGACTTTCTATTGGTTATAGGTAATGTACAATGAAACGTAAGAGAACTATCAATGAATTGTGATAATATGGTCAAACTGAAAGTTAGATGTCTGTCATTTAGTACTATTTCTTGTATGTGTGCTCACAAGGTGTAGAGTACAGTCCAATCAATTTTTTGTCCAGCCGTCTTATCCCTCTTTCAGGGAAAAGAATGGGTTCTACCCTTTATATGGTATTTATATGTTGGGTATATTATGAGTCATAACTACCGCATATCTTCAGGAAGATAGTATGGCTTCACAGAAATAGTCAATAAATTCTAGGCATTCTGACATTCACTGCTTTACTTCTAGAGCTGAATATCAACATTTAGTTACGATAAACTTGAGAGAATAACATCCTTCCTATCATTTCCATAAAATGAAAGCAGTTAGTATTGTAGAAGCCTCAAAATCTATCCCAGTTCTGCACATGAGCAGATATAAAATTGATTAATTATGTAAATGAGAGCAATAGGCCTGAAAATATTGCAAGCAATTTTTGAGAACTGAAATATTTAAATATTTTATTACTAATTAATTTGGAGAATTTATAAATTGTTTGAGTATATGCTAGTTTAATCAACAATCAATTTCTAGTTGCTATTATAAGAAATTATTCTTTTGTAATATAAACTAGTACCTCTTAATACTTATGTTTAAAGTGCTATATAATTAAAAAAAAAAAAGGTACCAGTTGCAGCCTTCAAATACTGTATATTAAGTAAGTATATTGCTTTCTGGAATTCAGAAAACTAAGACTGGATAAGGAATGTTAATTAAACTGCCAGTTTGGTACTTAATATTAAGTAAGTTCTTAACCTACACACTTTGGGTTGTTTGTAAGAACTGCTTTTTCTGTAATTTAATCTTGATTATGCATGACATACTTTTTTCACGTTTGTATGAAATTATAATAACAAGTAAACAAAACTAATTTTCATATTTTCAATTACGGTTATTACAGCACCGATCTATGTGTAAAAGTAATTACTGTTTAAAAAGTACCTTATTAAAAGAAATGGTTGGAGTGTATTTTTTTATATCTTTATGGTAGTGTGTTATAAGGTAGTGATGTACTTAAAAACAGTTTTCCAGGTATTTAAAGTACTGAAAGGCTACTGTAGGGATATGGATTTTTTTCATAAAAGTCTGTCACTTAATTTTGTACAAAAAGCTGTAAGTGCAGGTTGACCCTGTAGTAGAGCTTTGGAGCTGGATTCAAATCCACAAGTTCTTGCATACTAAGATATGGATGCATAATAAATGTGAACAAATCTTTTAATATGAGCAGTAGGATGATGCTGACTAGTTGTCTTTTCTCTGGTTAGTATTTCAAGTTAGGGATGAATGTAGATACATATTTTTAGTACGGTTCACCATAAATACAAGTACTAAAAGCTGTATTAGTAAAATTGCAGCAGTATTTTAAAAATGTCTTACTTAATAGAAGTTATGCAAGGACATTTAATTTTGATAATTTTGTGGTATGTTTGTATGAATTTTATTGTATACAGTTGCACAATTGTTATGTGATGTATTTTGAACCTCCTTTAGAAATTTGTATGTGTGTGTCTTTCTAAAATCTGTGATAGCTTATAATATTAAGCTGTTGGTGTCCATCCTTGTTTAACTATCTTGATTTCCAAACCTCTCACTGTAGTGTTAGTCTTTTCCTAACCCAACCCCCCCCCCTTTTTTTTTTGGATTTAAATGTACATTCTTTGAGATGATTTCAACTCCTACAACTCAGTCTTCAAGAACACTTGACTTTCAATATCTAACATTTTGCCATATGGTTGGCCACACTGTGGACACCAGTAGTTATGGCAGGTTGGAAAGATTACTAAGTGCTGTGGACACTTATCGTGTGTAGGTGTTGTAATCATCGATGACCACCCAGAACTGTTTGAAGATGACACAGCCTTATTATGTGATGCAGATGACGGTTTTCAAGAGGTTACTTCAAAGAAGCGACATAAAGTTTTAGTGGACAACGATATGAAAAAGATGAAAAAAGAGGTAACTCTTTAATTTATTTAGAGTGAATGTTTTAATAATATTTTGGAGCATACTTACCTACAGTACCTGTATGTAAAAATTTGAATGTTAGACCAGTAGAAAATTAAAATTGGCTTACACTGGTAATAAACTGATTAGGTTAACATTTGTTTAAAATAAACTACCACACAACATTGAACAAAGTTTAAATTCATGTAAAATGAAGTCTACTGTTACTTGTTATAGTTTTCTGTTGGCTAATGTAAGATATCCTCTAGTTTTAAAATACTATTTAAGTTGCAGTATTTTTATTCATAATGAAAATGTTTTTCATGTGTAAAGAATGGCACCTAGAAGAAAAAGTGAAACCTAAGTAAGAAGTAACTAACTTAAGTTACTTGCGATATCCTTAATGGTGTATTTTAATGACCAAGGCACATTATAGACTTTTCCAAAATAATGTCATGCCATCTAGTGTCTATGTGATAGCAGTGTATGTATATTCAAGGAAGTGAAAAAACTTAAATGCCTTTTCACTGTTGTACTTTTGGTTGCATCAATAGACAGGGTTTAGAACTGGGTATGTTTTTTCAGATTCCCAGCTGATTAAAAAAAAATAAAAAATCAGTCTGGGTTGCTGTAGTTTATATTTTGTGAAAGGTTATGTTAGCTTATTTTGATATGCCATTTTGGCTTTACATGATTCAGAGCATATTTACTCAGACGTATTGCTACCATAGTCACAAAATATTGGTTGACTTCATGGTCAAAATAGCTGATATCAGCATTGCTCTACCTGTAAATCACATGATCTGGAAAAGTCTATTGAATATTCCTTCCCAAACTCCTTATCATCTAAAGTTTCTGTAGTAATCTCAATATTTACTCTATTTTTAACACTGTAGAATACAATGTTGCAAAAAGTACTTAATCATACTTTTGTGTATAATAAAAAAAAATTGGTATTTTAAAAGTTAAATTACTACTCACTGAAACTTATGGTAACTGGGCTTTATACTCACTTAAGAATTAAACCATAACTAGTTACTTTCCAGTACTTAAAAGGCCCAATTTTTGTGTTAATAAAAGTATTTTCAAATCAGTTTTAAATGTCAATATCCAGAAATTTTCCAAACTACACCTAAAGTTATTATTAATTTGGTATCGTAAAATCAGAATGCAATTTCTTGTGTACACTGTATTATAATTGAGTAGGAACAAACAAGAGTAGTGTGTGTAACCATGCTATTGAAAAGCAACAGAATGATTTGATTTTGTACTTGTCTAATCAATCAAGCTTTAAGAATTGAACTGAAAACTTTCTGTTTATTGAAAGGTTGCCAAATCTGAACTTAAACCTGGTTCTGTTTCTGAGGGCTATTTTTAACAAGGAAAAATATTAGAAATACAGATATCTTGTAACTTTTCTTTGGAGTCATGATTTTTTGTGGCTGTTAAATTGTTAGAATCTGTCTTTGATGTAAATAAAATTGTTATATTCAAGCTATTCCTAAGTATTAAAAATCCTAAATTCTGAAAATCTATTGTAGTATTAATTGTATTGCATGTAACCTTGAGTACACAATGACTTTCAAAATGAATTGAAAATACACCTTTCATGTTTTAAGTTTATTGGGTGGTTATATGTAGTTTTTAAACATGCAGCATTTTAGTTTTAATATCTAACATTTTTAAATGTGTATTCTGCTGCTCATATATATAGCTATTAAATGGAAATACTTTCCAGAGTTTGTACAACACAACTGTTAAAAGTTGTTTCAAATATATTAAATTTACTAATTTGTTTTAATATTACTGTATCGATTCTGCAGAAAAGATTTAATACTGAATATAATAAGGGGTTCTATTTATTATTTTTATAATTCACTGTTAAGATGTTTTGTTTTCTGGAGTTTAATTACGATGAGCTTGCACAGAAAAGCACTATGTAGACCTAAGCCTACAACTATCATGCAAAAAAAAAGAGGGTGTAGAATAAGTAATTTATTGTAACTTCCCTAACTTCATTAAGACCATTATAATTATTCTGTTAGGGTAGATGATTAAATACTGTAGTATTATTTGTATGCACGTTTATACAGTTACAAAAATTGCATGTTCGAAAAATGTTTTTTTACAATGTTTCTAGCTTCCTTGAAGATAAGAGGTTGCAAAACAAATAATCATTAGTTGCATGCTTACTGCTTAGAGAACAATTGTGCTAGAAGTTAATGAACAAGCATAATAAATAAGTAAAGATTTGTAATTACATTTTGAAAACTAACAAGTTACTTGTGTGCAGAAAATTTAAATGTTTTGTTGCCAAAATTTGTGTATGTGAACACACATTTCTTGAGCAGAAAATTGTAATTAGCTTTAGTAATTTAGAACGTGTTAGTTGGTTTATTCAAAATGAACAAACTTGAAGTATACATTTTGTGATAGTGTTTGAAGCTGGATTGGGTGGAAGATCTAAAAGCACTGTCTCATTCTACATTGTAGAAAAGGCACCAAGTTAAAATCATAAGGATCTCAAATGATTATCTTAAACATTTGTATACTTAAAAAATAATTTAAAAATTAATAATCTAATAAAATATTTCATTGTTTGACAGTCCTGTTTTTCATGAGTTGATTTTTCAAACACTTACGTAGTCTACATAATTTTAGTTCATTACTTAAAACCATATTTCAAGGCTCAAGTGGTGAGACTTGATACTTTTGGGTGTATGTGTGTGTGTTGTATATTTTCACTGAAGAAAGTTTGCCATGATGATGAAATAATTTTCTGTCAATCCAATGATACCAAGTGATTATTTACTGCAACTGAGCAACATAAGTGATTAAAAGAGCTCTCTCAAGTCACCAGACATCTTTTAAATTGTTCAGTTTTTTGTTTTTTTTCCCCATGCAGCCTCAAAACAAGCTTAAGAATAGTTCCCAAAAACGACAACACAAACTTCCTCCAAGACTGGCTAAACAAAAAGAAAATAACAGACTAAATCTCACTAAATCAGTAGCTGTTTCTTCTACGTTTAATGGAGGAAATCTGGGGGCATCAACTGATGGTTCACTGGAAATTGGAGGAAATACTGTAAAATTTCTTGTGAAAGGTGAGAATTTTAATGAATGTATTTTGCAGTTGTAGTTTTTACAATAACTCTGAATTTTTTATTTTTCAAAAATTTAATGAAAATAATGGTAAATGTTAATGAAATTATATTATTACAAAATATGCAATTCAAAACAAAATTGAAAAAGTTAGTATTAACCTGATTTTTTCCCCCCCTTTCTTGTATTAGAAGCAACTCCTGCTCCACCACCTCTGGTGAATGCTTGGGACAAACCTATCACACATGCCTTTCGTTCTCAGTCTCCATGTGTTTCTACTCCTGTCACCATAGTAAGCAGCAACGGTATGATTGGAAATGTATCTGGTACAGATAGCACATGGGGAAGCAGTTTGAACACTAGTACAATAACTAGTTCAATCAATCCAGCACTACAGGCTCTGACAGTTTGCTCGAAGTCCAGCAGTTTTGATCGCAGTGAGCAGCATGACAGTGGCATAGAGGTTAGTGATCAACCAGCTTCAGCAGCCTCTTCTCAGCGCTCTTCCCCCAGCAACGACTGTAAAACTCTTGATTCAAAACCACAAGTGGCAGCTACCAGTGACACATGTGCTGAATTGGTGAGTGGGTTAACCCTGAAGTAGTCGCACAATATTTGTATAATGGTAATCCATCACAATAGACCTCAAATTTAGTGCGAGCACTCTCCTTTTAAGCTGAATATGCACATGTGTCATTATTGGTTAATTAAGTCACAGCAACAAATTTTCACTAACATGTTATAGTTGACAATAATACATGGAAGTAATGTTTTGTTTTGGAAAAAGTATTGATTAGTACAGCAACATTGAGCTCTGTGCAGTTATAAAACAATGTGCTATGAAGGGAGATATATTTTCTTCCATATGGTATAATGAGCCACTTGTAACAGAATTATATTAGAATAAATATGAATTCAGGTGAGGTTATTCTGGTTATACTCTGTGTCAAGTATGCTTTTAGAAATTTTAAAGTAATCTATATTTTTCTGCTATCTTTCTTGTCTTGGATTTGTGTGGTCATTATGGGTAATGTGTACATCATACAGATTCTTAGGTGATCATAAAATTTGGAATGCAACAGTTGAGCTCCACACAAATTTACTTCTTTATTAAATCACATTTTTATATTTAAAAAACATTGAGCTTCAAGGCAGAAAATTCTAAAACTTATCTTGTCCAGAACTGTTATATGAAATGTGTAAATCCATAATATTTGAGGGGGTGGCATGAATACTAATTTAATCCTCTCGCTACGGGCATCCTTTTCTGCACCTGTCACAAGGTTTGAGTAGTGTTCAAACTTAATTAACCTACTTTTTTATCATGGTATACAAATATATTTGGCATAAAACTTTGCTAATAATCCAAATTCAGTGTATGTTTTAAGCTCTTAATTTTATAAAGCAATATTAAAAACAACCTGAATTTCCCCTTGTATGAGAATTGTGTCATTTGATCTCTGGGTATCCCTTCTTCTCCAATTTATATACCATTTCCCTGAGAATTTCAAAATTAAATTATTCATTATAATCTTATCATTGCTCAGGCACAGCATACTTTTCATAGCCTTCAATATTATTTAGTTACAGAACAATAAAATAGCAAATCATACCACTCTTGCCAAGCCCACTTGTCAATATCCTCTCTTTCAGAAATTGCCAATAGTTCTCTTACATTTAATACTATATTATTTATAGCCAATAAAAAGCTAAGGGTTTAATCAGTCAAGTGAAATATTACACTACAGTGTTTTATGTACACAGATTTGTCCATTTCACTTCCAGTTCAAGTTTATTCCAACAGGAAACAATGAGCTCAGCTGAATATATAACAACTCTTGTTTCATAGTTAGAAATTCAGAAAAACTGTGATAGCAATAGGACATCGTTTGCTTTGTGCATGTTATTATTCTGTTCTTTGGTGTACAGTATTTAATTAAATAAAAAATTTAGTGCATTAGTACCATCAGTATATTAAAAAACAAAAGTAGAGTTAAGAGTCATTGACAGTCGACAGCAAAAAAAAAAAAAAGACCTGGGTAAGTACTTTTTTCATGTATATTCGTTTATTATTAATATTATAAAGAGGTAAAGTGTAAAAATTAGAAAGTTTTTTAGGTAAGATTAGGTAAAATAAAGAATTTTTCAAAATGTATGCTTGTGAGTAGCCTGTGCAATATGTAATTTGATAGTGATTTACAACTTATATGGCAGAAATATTGAGAAATGGTATGGTTCAAAGGGCAATAAAATAATTTAAACAGATGTATACTGCTATGAGTTTAAAGCTATTTAAAATAAACAAATGTTTCATGTTACAATTTGAAGTTGTTTTAGAAATAAAATAGTGATTTCAATTTTTGTTTGGAAATTTAATTCATATTAGAAAAAGTAGTTCTATGACTAATGGATTTTGAGAAAGAAAATAACTCCTGGTGTCAGATTGTATGTTTAAGATTTTGTTAGCATCACAAACTTGCAAATTGTAAAACAAAATGTGGATAGTTGAATTTTTAGTTTTTGATTTCAACTTCCAACATTTATTGTTTTTAATGTATTTGTGTTAAAAATAAGCAACAAACTCATTAAATCTTCACATTTTTAGATTTGTTTCATACACCATATAAAATACCAATCACAACATGGTGTAAAAATTGATAATTAAAGATACAATTTTTTGTAATTTCATAATCCAAAACAAATTTTAATAAAACATACTTAAAAAGAAAATCAAATTAACTTTTTTTTTCTTGTAGAGTTAGTTTTACTGGAAAATAAACGTTTGAAATTTATGAGGTTTTAAAGATTATGCAAAATAAATTTTAGATTTTTATGATGAAGAAAAGTATTTTTAATCTTAATATAAAAATCACTTTCCACTCGGAGCAGTCAATACTTTGACTCCATATATAATCATGGAGAAATTTTTAGTGTAAATATTTCATTAAACATTTTGTCCACAAATGACTTTTGATGCTGCTTACTAAAAACTTACAAAATGTCATGAAGATACACAAAACATTAAAATTTATAGTATGGAAACTAATGGTCAGTTTGAGGTCAATTGCTCAGTTAAATCAACAAAGCCCATAGCGAGAGAGTTAAGTTCTGAAATCTTTCTAGTTAATCTAGATATGATCTTTCCACTTAATTTTTGCTCAGTTGATTACAGATATGTAAGCTAATTACTTTATTATAACCAATATCCTATCCTGCTACTTGTGTGGTTGGAAAACTTTTTGAATATTTAGGAATGAAAGCTCACTTGGGTAACTTAAAGTTAAAACTCTCATACTATAGACTTTAGGTATGCTTGTCTAAAATATATATTTGTCATATTTTCAAAAATGCATTGCATTTTCATTAGAAGATAGTTTGACTTGTGCAGAAACTCCTGTCAGTATTCAAAAATTAGATTTAATATTTCAGTTTTAAAGAGGAAGAGGTTTAATCTTCAAAAGAGATTCAAAATTTTCCCCCCTAGAGTCTTACAATATTTCAGAACAATTTTCAGCTGTGTTCCTTTCACTTTATAGACCCACTGAACAAGGGACTTTGCCCTTTTGTATCATACTGGGGGAGGAACTTCCTCAAAGTCATCAATGATGAACTATGATGCTAAGAAAACAAATATTTAACTTTTAGTTATGCTAATTTAATTGTAAAAAAATGTGATTTTTAACACTTTGAATTGTGTGATAGCTATGTAGCATTTTTCTCCAATATGCTGAATTTTTAGTAAATGCATATTTAATATGCTGTTTTGTATTTTTTTTTCATGATAGAGCAAGGATTATTTGACAAAGTAAATCTATCACCTTTGCTCTTCCAGCTTGTGGGAACACCTATTTGGTTTTCATGGTATTTTCCTAAAACAAGCACTTCAAAAATAGAATGTTTAACATTAGTTTCAAAGTTAATTTTATCATTTAGTGTAAAAAATAGTGAGAGCCATGGATCTTTAAGCAGGAACTTTTAAATTTAAAGTGATTTAGAATTTTTTGACATTTGAAGTTTCTTTTAATAATAAACAAGTCCTTGGATCATAAGCAAGCTAGTTGTTAAGTTATGCAAGTAGAATAATACTTACTTTTAAGTACCAGTTTTGATATTGTAGTTGTTATGGTTACTTTCATGAATTATCAGTGTTCTGTGTGAATTTGGTGTACAGGAAAGATTAGTTCGATGTGGTAACTGAATTACTTAGATCATTTTCTATTGAAGTTCTTCCTTTTGTTCTGATCACTGTACACCACAATATTGGAATTAGTATTTTTTTCTTTCTTTCTTTTTTTTTCTTTTCATTTTTTATTGTTGTAGTTATGGAAAATGCAGCAGGAATTTTGCAATGAAAGTATTTTCCATTAGCACTCCATCCTGGGAATAGATACACTGAGGCTAGTTAATTATTTATCAAATGAATACAGGTCAAATAGACCTTTTCTCCTCACTTAGTTACAAATTTCATAAAAGAAAAAGAAAATTCTTCCTTTGTTTTAAAGGTAAATGATTTCGACAGTGGCAAACGAATGAGTACAGTGATATTTGAAAACAAGAACTTCAAAGCAGAAAATGCAGTTTTAGACCAGTTTGGAAACTACACAAAATCCTCAAATGTAAAGGTAGGATAACTTGGTGAATTAGTTAGTAATTATTTTGTCATTTTGGTACATTAAGAAAGACCTTTTACAGTGTAATTATGTATTTTTATAAATTGTTCTTCTATTTTGATTATTATTGGTTAACTTCAAACTCTTGCTTTCAGAAAGAAATGTAAAACAAAAGCTCAAATACTACTTAAACAATAATAATATAAAAGGCTAAGGTTGCTAACTTTAGCTTTAGTTATGAAGGATGGTGGAATACTTTAAAAAAGATTTTAAAAAAATTGTGAACGTGTTCTCTCATTGGTTTTGACATAGAAGTGAACAACAAATGTTTTTAATCCTACCCAAACCAGTGATCACCTTTCAGGTATCAATTGCACACCTACATACTAAATTTTAGTAAAAATTATATTTCTTTCTAGTTCAATGATATTTTAGAACTGATACTTTGTCATGTTGTAATATTTATTTCAATATTACATTTCTGTGCATCTCCGAGAAGTCTTGCCTGTGAACAGTATGTGTAGGTGTTGTTTTTTTTCCTCACTTTCCTACCCACTATAAAGAATGGGTTTAAATTTTCTTAAATTCTCAAAATTTATTATTAGAAGTAGTAATACAGCATCTTATTCCTTCATTTTTGACCTCACAACATGTGAGCTGAAAAACTTGAAATAAAATTGCCTTAAAAACAACTACATGCAAAGTTTTAAATATCATTGCATAGAGCAGATTATAAACTATTTATGTTGGTGTAGAGTAAATAATCTGAGAAGTAATCCATTTTGTGGGATAGCGATTAGATACAGTTCTTGTGGAGAATGACTGTTTAATGGGAAGTTTGAAAGGTTTTTAAACAAAACAAGTCTGGGAAGTTGAGTTAAATTGTATTTGTTTGAAAGCTAAATCTAGTTGTTGAATGTTAGTCTTAAGTTTATAAGAATTTAATCATTGAAAATAAACCATATTTATTACGTACAAATTGATGTTGACCAAATCATCATCTAGCCTTACCTCACTCTACCATATATTACTGATAAATCTTTCAGTTTTTGCCATGTTTTTTACAGTTCATAGTTGGAAGTGGTTATATCTGATATGGAACTTTCTGAAACATATACACTGAGACAAGTTATTGTTGGTTTCTTCTTCCAAAGTGGTGTGTTCAAAATATTTGAAAGGATAGAAAAAGTAAATCATATGTTGTTTTTAAAGCCAAAACTAGATACTATTTAGTAAGTACTTACTAATTTCATGTAATTTGGGAAATCCTCCACATCCCTTTGGCTTCATACAGTATCTTTCCATTTGATTTCATAAAAATGAACTTCTGAATGTCACTATCTGAAACACTTTAATCATATAGCATGTTAAAAATAGGCAATTTTAAAGTAAGTTGTTGTTGTTTTGGTAGATTCATGATAAAATAAATAAAAGTATAGCATACTGTTATGCAGTATGTGCATAACTACTGACCCACAAGCCATGTTTAGTACACGATTGGTCTTTGCAACCTACTAGTTACAAGTAATAAATTATTAGTTCGCCTTGTACAAAAATAGCTGAGATGTTAAGATCTGCTTGCCAAAGTATAAATGAGATGTATGCATTGATCTCCTTACCTCAAAATATTTTCCAAACTCATAATGCTTAAGCAAAAAATGTTTTGGAAAACACAATAGAGTTTAATGAAAAGAACTACCAAACAGGTTTGTATAGATTTTGCAAGGGATATTATATTTCATAAGTCTGGAATTGTGGAAGATGAGTCATCAGATTAAAATTGATCAGTCCCCTATCAGATTTAAAGTATTTATCATCAGTTAGCTTGTAAGGTGAGACCAATCAATAGCTATTCCACTTGATTAGTTATGTTGCAGTTGGTGTGTTTGTTTTTCTTGTCATGTATTATCTGATGTGTGTTTGATGAAAATTGTTTTATGTACAAGTGGCCTTGTAGTACTAGGTTCCATTATGGATGACTATTTGTTGTATTTGGGCTTGTGCTTTGAGTGCTACAAAAAACCAGTTGAGTATATTTTTGTCAGATTTGCCACTTTTAATATGGTATTTAGTCTTAAACACTTAGGTGTTGTACAATATAATTTAATTAAGGATATAGCAGAAATATAATTCAGAGTAAGAGTGTAGTTTGGATCACTGTATTTAGGTGCACAGTACTACTGCTGATACATGGTACAAGTTATATCTTTGAAAGTGTTTTCCTAGATTAACATTGTGATTATGATATGCATAACCTCCCTTTAGGTGCACACTTTATGTAGAATGCAGTACAGCTATATTCCTTTTGCATAATGGCTTGCAAACATTTCATTAGTGTGAGCCTTATAAACCACTTGATAAGCAATGTGTCAAAACATTGGTTCCTTAGCAAAAAAAATATAAATTTTACTGAATAATATAATTATATATAATTATAATTTGTTCAGTGGTTACCTTTATGCATTTTTAAATATTCAAGTTAGACATATTTCCTTATGGGGGGGGGGGAGTTGTCTGGAAGTATAAAAAAAACAACTAGGATAGCTGACAAAGGGTATAGAGGATAAAGTTAACTCTCTTTAGGTAGGTAAAAGTGTCCATGTCTCGACCTTTTATAATTACTTTCAAAATTTAATTAAACTACTTTATTATCAATGTATACAAATATACTTGGTATTGAAATCTAGTTAATAAATCTAATTTTAATATTATATAAGCTTTAATTTCTTAATCTTAAAGAAATATTTAAATAAATCTTAATCTCCCCTTGTATGAGAATCGTGACACTTGTTCACTATATTTTTTTTCAACACCTCTCTCTGATGTATTGAGTAATTTACTCAATATAGCTATTACTAAGGCAGAGTCCACTTTTCATAGCTTTCAATCTTTGTTTACTAGAAAGTGAGACCCAGTTGCCATACTCACCTGTCACATCTTTTCTCTCTCTTGCAAAATGGCAATAATTATCTGTGTGTTCTGTTAAATCATTTATAACCAATAGAAAGAAGGTCTTAATTTACCCAATGATTTATAATACTACATTGTTCACAGTACAGTTTTTTTGTTTACAATTTGAAAGTTGCTCTTGTCCAGTTGAGATTGAGTAGCTAAGG